TTATTGAAGGTCTCAATAATACAGCTCTCAGAATTATATGTTGCATTAATTTTATTTTATCAGCTTTAGTTTGATATGTTCTTTACATAATAATCTGCATCTAAATTAATATTATAACATGATATTAAATTACACTGAAAACCAGCAAATAGTTTCTATGAATTATACAATGGCACCACAGGAAATAATATGGCACATTGCAATTGCAAACATAGTTGTACAATTTCAATCAAAACTATTAAAAAATTAAAAATTGATCATGTAAATTAATAAACTAAGCAAAAATAAAACGGGAATAATAATAATAAAAAATTAAAAAAAGTGGTAATGAGAAGGATAATAAGAAGCAGTAGGAGACAATGATTACGATTTGTGTCAAGTTAAATATAAAGCTTTATACAATGTTGGGGAGATCCAAACTGTTTAACTTGTTGTTAAGCAATCGAATAATCTATGTTTTGTCCTACCATTGGCTCAGGTAATTCAAGAAATAAAAATTAGAGAGAAACAAATATTGAAAAAATATTTGAAAACTTTTATTACGTCACTGATCTTGTAATATTGGGGGAATTATTTTGTTTTCTCTCAAATTCCACTTTGGAAATACACCTTCCGCCAATTCGCTCAGATTGTGAAATTTACCGTGTGTCAACCAGCCAACGAACAGTATTCAAATTGATTGAAAACAATGAAACTTGGAAGAAGCATGAGCCCTGAGCAATCCTGCCAATCTCAAGGACATTAAGGAGTTGCCCAATATACTAAATATTTTTCGCTCCACTCAAACATGAAAATTTGTCATTATTAGCGATAACAGTACAAAAACATATAGGTATGTGTCTATAATGTTACATTTTATGATTTTGCTCGTACTAATTGTGTAATAGTGCTTTTTATTTTCAATCTTATGCTTCAATTTTTTATTCCCTGGCCACGTGCACAGTTAGTACTAGTTAAGAAACTAGTCAACGGTAGCTCTTTATGTGATATTAAAATATTTTTATTTTACATCTACGGAACAAAATTAATTTGCATAATTACATAAAACTCAGCATAAACTTCCCTATTTTATTTATGTGTATCTCACAATACCCACCTATCTTGCAAACAAATATTTTTGAACGTAATATAGACTCTCTTATCTACTTGAGAATTTCTCGCTCTAACCACCTTAAGCATACTTTACACTAAGGTAAAAATTTAATCAACAAATTTTCTGCCGTTTTAACAAAATATTGTTTAAAAAAATTTAATTTACCTACATTTGACACAAAAGTTTGCAAAAATTACTCATTTTCGAAAAATTGAAAAACATATTATTTGAAGATGGTTTTGATGAACACATTACTTTAAGAGAAAAAAGTTGTTTAGAGATTTTTCCTTCAAATTAAATTAGTTCTTTCATTAAGGCCAAGTACATTTCCTTTGAAAATTTTTAGTTTTAACGCAATACCGTATGCAATAAGTGCATTTATAAAAAAAAATAATTAATTTTCTCAAAAACTGTTCCAATTTTTTTCTTTAAACTTTTGCCAGGGATAGTGTTAAATATACTCTAGAAGACATAAACCCCATTTTCCCTTTAATCTTTACTTTTTTCAAAAATTATAAAATTTATTTACGACTACTCACTTTTGTCCCTAATATTTACATTAGTAGCAATTTGTTCACATTATTGCAAATACAAGTTCATGAGAATGAGGGGGTAGCTGGCTAAAGAATGTTGGTAGTCCAGACCAAAGAAAATTGAAAACTAACTAGTATAGGAAAGTCTGTGCTATTCTGTAAACACTAGTTTTTAATTCAGTGCTATCAATTTCGCATCCTTTGTCTTCTTCTGCTCTCTCTTATACCAACTCAAGTTTCTCTGATTCCGTTTCCAGTCGCTTTCATTCTTCAATAGCGTTTTCTGCTTACCTCTGGCCCCAGATCAAAGCATGTCTTGATCAACTATGGTGGCATATTTTCTCCACTGTCAGTTTAAGGTTATATTATAGAATGCTAGTTGTAGCCCTAATGTGCACATGCATAGATCCTATAATGACGACACATGCAGAAATTTAACAACAAACACAATGAAGCAAATTTAAAATCTTTGGCTGTGCCCTTTTTCCTCTTGCATGCATAATGTTAAGAAGACTTGCAGTAGTGTTACAGTTTATACTAAGGGCAAATTTTCAAATACATTAGACAATACTTTATAGAGTATCATGTAATTTGTCGGTTTATGGCTTAAAATGACGTTATCAACTTAAAATAGTTCTTTATAAACGATTCTTATAATTCCTAAAATTTGTTAAATAATTTTATCAGAAATAATTAATTCCATCGACTGGAAATACCATAGTTACCCAAATATAAGACAAGGATTTTTTCCAGTTTTCAACCTTTAAATTGGGGGTCCTCTTACGTTCGCACATGATAAAAAATTTGTGTATGAAGAAAATACAATATCAACGGTATTATGTTGCTCCTTGTGTAGTAAAAGTTAACTTCACACAGAAAACTCATTTGTAATAGAAATTTCCCTTTTTTATTATTATTGGATATGTTTATAATTGAAGTAATAAGATGTAGAATATTTTTCCCAACTGTTACACAGAATCATTAGATAGGATATAAGTTTTTCATAGCAGTGTTGAAACAGCTGTGACGTCGCCAAAACCTTCCTCATGGCCAACAAAAGAGAGACTCTTAGGCCACAAACCTTTCCCCATCCAAGTCGTTGAGTACCACAAATTTAGTAGTCGCGTTCATGCTTGTGTTGTGCAGCTGTGTGCTGATTATTAGTGGCAACGGCCGACCACGTGGAGAAAAGAGGAAGTGTAGAACTTACCAGAAATGTGGAACGAATGTGTTAACTTTAAATTGAGTGTAATTCATCACGCTAAACAAACAATGGTAAAGCTACACAACATTATGCAATAAGTGAAGCCAATGTATGGCGTTGGAGAAGTATGAAGAAACATGAAATCTTTTAATTCCACAAGGAAATGTTTCCATGGACCACAAGCGAGGCGCCATCCCAAAATCGACGAAGTTCATTATAGAAAATCGTAACAAGGGTTTCAATGTTTCTATAAACAGCATTCACATAAAAGCATTAGAAGTAAAAAGGAGAAACATTTTCAGACAGGAATTCAATGCAAGAGTCGGCTGGTGCATTGGGTTCATGAGAAGGAAAGGGTTTAGTATAGAAGAACTTCCCTATCGTAAAAGCTGACTGCAGATTATGAAGAAAAACTTCTGGAGTACCAAAAGTACGTTGCATAATTGTGCCATCAACACAACCATTTGTGGAGTCAAATGGGGAATGCCGTTGAGACCCCCATGTACTTCGACATGCCTTTTAACAATACAGTGGCTACAAAAGGGTGTAAATCAGTTATGATAAAAACATCTGGAAACAAAAAAAATGTATGTTATGAGCATGCTGGGAGTGTTGGCAGATGGCAGGAAGCTACTACCATTTGTTATCCAGAAAAGGACGAATTTGCCCAAAGAAAAACTACCAAGTGGAATAATTTTTAAATGCAATGAATCTGAGTGGATGACTAAAAAGCTTAAAGATTTCTTGGTTTTACGAAGTTTGGGACAAGCGACCAGGAGCTCTATTACAGCAAAGAGGACTGTTAACCCTTGATGCCTTTAGGGGCCACCTTACAGAAGAAGTGAAAAGAAGTGAAGAAGTGAAAAAGTTAAAAACAGATTTAGTAGTGATACCAGAAGGCATGACCTCACAGTTGCAAGTCCTGGATGTGACTAAACAAAACTTTCAAGCACCAACTCGGATGCCAATATGAAGATTGGCTGTAATCAGGGAACTGCCCATTAACATCAAAAAACCTTCAGTAGGACAGCTTGGTCAGTGCATTCTAACTGTACGGAATACTATTTCTACTGAATGTGTAACAAAAGGTTTCAAAAAATGCTGTAGAAGCAACAATCTGAATGGCACAGATGTGTAATGGAATGAAAACGATGGACATGAGTCGAGTGACGATGAAACAAGAGAAGATTATTGAGAGATATGATTAAATGATGAATACGGATGTGGTAAAATGGACGTTTAATTCATGTACTGTATAAAATAATAATATGCACAAAATAATTTATGCATGATGTTAATAAACATGTAATATAGATTTTTTTTTTCAATTGCATTACCTAGTTGGAAACTGATTTCAAGTTATAAAAACAAGGGTCATCTTATATTTGGGTGTATATTTTTACAGAAATTCAAGGTATAAAAACATGGCTTGTCTTATATCCGGGTAAATTCACTAGCTGTTCCTGGTGTTTTCCCTGTATTTTTTCTGGATTTGAAATTCAGGTGATTTCCAGGTAGTGGTCACTCCGAATACATGTACAGATCTAGGTAAATATACATTTCAATTACATTTTCAGAAACATGTTCAACTTTGTGTTTATAAAGAATAGCGATTGAATAGTTCCAGAATTTCTAAACTTCCCTCATTCAGTTTTAAAGAATAAGAATGACAAGAACCAATATTTTTGGGTTTTTTGATTTTGGTTGTAACTTTTTCTACAATTCTTAATTTTGTGCAACATAATCACACGGGTTCAACTAATGGTCTGAACTTATTTCCAAATTGAACAAAGTAAAAAATAAGTTCAGTGCAAGAATTGAAACAAATTGCTTACAACATGCTTCAGAGGCAGTTTAATATAGATATATGAGTTTTGTTTTTATATTCACTCTTAGCAATATATTTTTTATAAAAAATGAGACCTGCACAAATATAGTTTCATAGTGAGCCTAACAGATAGCCAGTTCACATCGTGAGAAGTGGTCATACACTGTTTTCAAATGCAGTTTTCTCAATATCACTGAAAATCTCTATATGTGTTACTATTGTATACTCTGAGCAAAACAAAGTCAACTTAGCATCTTTATTTACAATGTCAATATAAATATGAACAAACAATTTTTCTTCCCAGGCTTTGCTCAAATTTTATAGTGCATAATTATATCATACCTGAAGAGCTGGATTGTCAGAGAAGAGAGGATTACTATTAATAATTTGTGAAGCCATAGAAGGATCTGCTGCGAAAGCTTGCAACATGGACTGTGTATACGGGGCTGACAACATGTTTTGCATGAGCTGTGGATTCTCCATCATTTGTTGCATGAGACTCTGCATGCCTGGGGTGCTCAAAAGACCAGATCCTCGAACTGCTGATGATGACGACGATGTCCGAGTTCCAGTTGTGGAGGTCTGAGATCCACCAGTGTTACCACCTCCACCCCCACCACCACTTTCCCCAGAAGCAGGGGACCATGGATTAGGAAGAGGATCTCTATTTTCTTGACCCTGTTGTGGATTAGAACCATCTGAAACAAAATGATAAATCAAACTAAGAACTTAACAGCAAATATCAACAAAATGGAAACCGGGTGAAGATTCAAATTAAAACAATCACACTAATTTATAAACGAAATGTTTTTTCCACTCCTATAAAACGACCAAACTACACAGTTCCTAAAAAGTTAAATAAAAATACACTCAAGTACATAGAAAAGAAGTAATTAATATTCTAGAATACAAAAGAGAACTTTGCTTTCTTAACATTAGCATGAAACTATCATAAAAATTTCATCCTTTAAAATTAATCATATTGAAACAAAGTATTTAATTTAAAACATTGGTTGGTATGTAAGAAAAACTTTGTGAAACACATAACTTACTTTATTTTTACAATATTACATTCAAATTATACCAGAAGTAGATCTCAATTACTGAAAGATGAGTGTGACAATAGTATATTTCTCTTAAACAAATCAACATGCATTTCATGAACATAAAGAGTAGACATGCAAGTCAGTTACATTCATACAATAAACTCAGAAGTTTCTAAACCCTAGATACTTAGGCTTATTTGAACCTTTGGAAGTAGAGGAAATTCTGACCACCTTCCCCAAAAACACAGTTCAGGAGAAAAATTTTGCTTCTCTTATTAACAATACTGTTAAATGACAATTTTCAAATTTTGTAAATGTTAAATGCTATGTGTGATGATCATTAAACAAATTACTCTCATTCATCGCCACAAATAAAACATTAATTTCTCAAAATTTTCTAGTTTCTTAGGTTTCTATTTTACTTTTATAATTGTCTAATACCTCTTAACTTCACCCATTGCCTCATTATCCCCTTCATTTTAGCAGATCCAGTAAACAATGTAGTCATTGTAGCCTATGATCCAAAAAAAAATTTTTTTTTCTTTTTGCTCCTTCTACAGACCTCTACATTCTCAATTATACTGGAGAAACCTAATAAGATCACTTTTATCAGTATAAACATACCTGCATTACCGGAGTTGTCTACTAAACCAGCAAACGGATTCCTGCCAAATTGTTCACTGGCAGCACTAAGCATTGGTTCCTGAATGTCCCGGTACATGCGCTGAAGTGCATTGTAGCCACCTACGAAAAAGAGTGAAGAACAATTTACTTGAAGCTGTTTCTATAATTGACTTTGAAGAAAGGTATTGATCGGAAATACACACCTGGAATGGACTCTAGATTAGAAATAGCACGATCATGATTACGCATCAATTCTTGTAACATAGATGGATTTCGAGCCAATTCCATGGTTTGGCGAAGTAAGTCAGGATTATTTAACATATGGCTTATTTCAGGATTTCTCTAAAAACAGAGTAAATTAACACATACATTAGTAGATTACATACTGATAAACATTACAAGGTACTTAAACACATAGGAGAAAATCAGAGTACTCACTTCCATTAACTCTTGCATCTGAGGGTTGGATGTGATCAAATTTCTCATGTTCTCTGGATCATTCATTAGTCGCTGAACCAATGGATTGTCCAAAATTTGCCTCATCATATCAGGATTTCCAAGTAATTCCCTCTGCATACGTTGCTGCAATTCCATAAAATTGGCAGAACCCATTCCCAGAGCCTCCAGTCCAGCTAAGCCTCCTAATGATCCAAGGCCAAATGGAGTTGCTCCAACATCAGCTACAATATTCAAAGGATCCAGAAACAAATGTTTCAATTAATATTAAATATTCTATTAATCACTTCATTTAAACACAATTTTTCAATTATCATCATAACTACTAAGTGAATTGTTAATAATATTGCCACTATTTTTTTTGTGAACCTCCCAATTCGACATCCTGAAAACTACTTTAGTTTTTTCAACTTACCAATATTCAGTACATGTCTTAGAACTAACTAGGGCAGAAGTCTAGTGTATGGTACAACTTAAGGAAGCCTTTTAAACCAGCAGTTTGCGCTGCTCCGACAAGGGAGAAATAAAAGGTGGAGGGGACATGGGGTGTTTATGATTTTTATATACATCCAGAAGCTCAGGAAAATCCAAAAACAATACAGTTTTAATTTTAACTGAAAAATGCAAATATTTTATAGTATTATTCTGCCTATTCTCATACTGCGCCTTTCAGCCATTACAACTGAACTCTCATTTTCAGTGCATCACTACTTAAGATATAGCTGACACCACACAGCAGCAAAGCTCCAAGGGAGCTCTAAATTTTTGCTAATCTACAGACCATTCAATATTTGCTGTTCACATGTTGCATTACGGAACAAGTAATATTTTCGATATTCTTGGTATGAAAAGAACAGTTGTACTGTATGTATACTAAACTATGCTAAGCAGTATTCCTGAAGGTTGTTTTTGTTAAAATATTGAATTCATTGCAGTGATATACAAGATCATTAAACTTGTTCTTGAGCTGTGTGTATCCTTCATTTTGGAAAACCATTTAGTAAAGTTTCGGTCAGTAGCAGTTTTCCTCCTGCGGGTCACTTGTTCCAAATAAAATGATACACGTTTATTATAATTGCAATATTATGTCACTTGCAGAGACAAATATGATAGCATCGTATTACATTAGTATTAACCAGGATGAAAATAAAGTAAAATATCATATAGACAAGTTCTGCATTGCAACATCAAAGTTTCTTACATGTATTTGTACATTGAAGTGATCAAAAGTGCTTGCACACCTTCCTCTAGTAGGTGCACCAATATCTGTTCCAATAGTAACTAGAACATTTTGCAGTGGATGAAGAAATGCACCTGTTATTGTCAGGCTAGTTTCTTGTTACATATATTACCTGGAGGTCTAGGCGCAGTAGATGCAGCTCCTGACTGCTCATTGTTACCACGAGAACTAGTCTTAATAACCAAGTGCACTGTCAGGCCATCCTTAATATTGTGAGTCTGTAATGTTTCATGATCTTTCATAATTTTTCCCGCGAAAATTAGACATAGCTGATCTGGCTCCGCACTAAACTTCTTCGCAACAATATCTTTGAACTACAAAATAAAAACAATACACATAAAATACACCACATTAACTACTCGAAAACATGATCAAGAAAGTGGCTTCGTCATCAGCTTGTTTACAGCTGCGGCTTAATACCCAGTTCCAATACATGCACCAATATGAAGCACAACAATACTTACGTCTTTTATCGATGCATTTTCTTCAACTTCGACGGTTTGTTTCTCTTTCGGAGTCTTTACAGTAACATTAATTTTCTTCGAGCTATCCTGTCCTTCCGCCATCTTAGAATAGCGGGATGACTCGTTATTGTGGGTGCTCTCTGTGCATGTTCTGGCTCTGGGGGTTCTGTGGTTAAAAACTCACTAGAAGCCGCAACAAGTGTGGCATGTGAAACGAAACATTTCGTAAACTACATATATTACAGGCATACCATACCACTAATTAGAACAATTTTACACATTCGTATTAAAATATACATCCACGAAAGTCAATATGTGTTGCTCAACTCGATTGCAACATCCGTATTCAAAGTAACAGTGACTTCGCGAGAGCATCGATTGGTGCAACGTGTATTTAACCCGCATCGAAGACGTGTTTCATCTTCAAAGTTTCTAAGTAATCTATAGTCTACATAGCATACTAGTTGGCAATTGTTTGAAATTATGTTGCATTGTTATTTTGCATTGTTAGATATTTGAACGAAAGTATGTTTGGCAGAATCAAGAATTTTATCACGGCCAATTTATCATTTGAAATAAATGTTAATTTCACCCAACATTTTATAACTTTTCATTAATTTTGGTTGTGCGACTAGTCGCCATGTTTACCAGTCGCAGATCTGTATTGTCCATACAGTAGAACTTAAAAGAGAACCGTGATCTAAGTACGTGAAGTTATCTATATTATAATTGGCTGTTTTCATTTCTACTGAAAGGATTTTTTAACAAATATCGAATTTCCATAATGCAAGAGTGTATCTCATCAAAATTTTCAATTTTATACCGACACTAACTTACTTTCATATCAAAAGATAAAGGTGTGTATTCAAGGCCAGCTTTACTGGTGTATTATACTACATAGGATTACACTATACACAGTTGCGCAACCAAAGGGGAGGGGGGTTCGAGGTTTCACCCCCTCCCCAATGGCACTAGAAAATATAGTTATCAATTTTCAATCAACTATCGTGTCATTCAATGTAGTAATATTCTTTACGAAATAAATATCTCCTAAAAGTCAACTAATTACTAGTGGTGCTACAAAATGGCACAAATATTCGTGTAGAAAGGTTTTCTAATTTTCTTGGAGTGGGCTTTCGGGGCTTGTCCCATCATTTTGCCAGCTACCATCTATCGCCGTCCAAAATTCATTTTTTGATGTTATCTCAATACTTCGATTTCTTCGTGGTGAATAATTCATTTGATTCGAAATTTTACTTTTAAAATATTACAGAATAGTAAAACCTATATGGAAATTTTCGATGAAAAATTTGGAGCCGTTTTTCAAGAAAAAATAATTTCAGATCTAGTGTAAATGCGAAATTTGAAGCTTTCAGGAACCTTTGGTGTTTTAGAAAAATTCATTTGAAGCACTTTCACTCACAAATGGAGTAATGTAAACCAGCAATACCCCCCTAAATTCAAAACAATACATTTTATGTCATCTTAAAAGTGTATTTCGCACCATTCGTGCGAAAGTTGGAAGAAAAATGTCCCAAGGGCTTCATGTAAAGTACCCCGATAAATTAATGAATGTTTTTCAAAATCTCAGAGCTTCAGCTCAGGTTAGATCGACAGGGAGTAGTTCACTTAGGAAAAAATCCTTCCCTCAGTTTAGGCGTTAGTGTTGACAGGCACACGGACGTTTTCTGGTCCATCGATTTTTCGATATCAAGACCCACAAAACACGAATTCTGGCTACACCACGTGTTAGAAGATATTTTTTCCTTAATTTAGCAACTCGATTAATACAGTTTTCCACTTCTCCTATACTACGTATATTATTCCGTGTATATATATATATATATATATATATA